GGGCACATGCCCAAGTTGTGGGCTTAATCCCCAGTAGGGGGCGTGCAGGAGGCAGCCAATCAATGATTCTCTCTCATCATTGATGTTTCTATCTCTCTCTCCCTCTCCCTTCCTCTCTGAAATCAATAAGAAACATTTTTTTAAAAAAAACAGAAAGAGAAATAAATGTATGGTTTATCAGGGCCACTGTATTTTAGAGTTGTGTTGGTATTTTAAATAATGTGCAGCTCTCACAGTTGGCAGTGTACCTCCCATATGTTATGGTCTGGAACATTCATCCAATCGCTCAACTATTTATTAAGTACATATTTTGTACCAGCCCTGCTCTAGGCTCTGGTCATACAACTAAGCCAGGCATGCAAAGTCCATGGTCCTAGTGCCCATCTCCTAACCCAATAGGAAGGAAGCCGGTAGCAAGTTGGCCTGTATCTGTTTTCTAGCCATCAATAAACAATATTTAACATATAAGTGATTTACAGGTATCTTTCATATCATCTACTAGGTTTATTCTCTTTAGGAAAACTTGGGAGGCTTTGCTCTTGGGCTTTACATTAAAATATGGAAAAATCATCGCTCAAGCAAATCTTTCTAAAGCTTCATTGTTATGGCAGAAGTCTGTGGCACACATTGCTATTAAGATTTTCATTTCATGTGGCAGCTCTTTCTGCGGTAGTGATAACAGAAAGGAGAGATTCTATATTAAATGGGAGCATGCAGGATTGTTCAATTTTTCCTCTTCTCTTTCCTAATTTAAGTGGACCTAATTTTTAAAAAATCCTAGAATTAGAAGACTTAGGAGAACATTAAACTGGATTTGTAAAGTTTTTACCTCTCACTATTTGCCTGAGTTTTTTCCATCCCACTTGCTCATTAAGGTAAACTCTGTCCTTCATGTGCGCAGACTTGCCTGCTTTCAAAGTTGTGTTATGGAGCATGTGTGATTCAAGATTACCTCTTGGCTAAAGAACCATGGTGAGTCTTTCTTTAGACTTGTATGTTGTTTGCCAGCTTTAAATTTTAGTGTTGTGGCATCTGACCTGCAGTTCATTGAATTACATGTGAAAAGAGGACTTCTGATAATTGAATGAATTTATGAACCATTGATCATAAATGATATCAGACAAAGATAACAGCAACACTTCACATTGCCATTATTGATCTCCTTAGCTAGCCACCAATCTCACTCGCTAGTACTACAATCACTTCGGAGGCCAAAATAATAGGCCAGCAGAGTTATAATTTGGTAAAAAGTAATGGGACATAATGGTCACTTTACAATAAGTTAACATTTAATAAAAATAACCCTGGGCAGTGTGGCTCAGTAGTTAAGAGCATGGGCCCCTGTCAAAGGGCTGGGTTGCAGGTTTGTTCTCTGGGGGCACATGCAGGAGGCAACCAGTTGATGCATCTCTCTCACATTGATGTAGCTCTCTTTCTCTCTCTCTTTCTCTCTCTCTCTCTCTTTCTTGGAAGGGAGGCATGTTTCTCCCTCTCTCTCCATCCCTCCCTTCCAATCTCTCTGAAAAAACAATTGAAAAGATATCCTCTGGTGAGAATTAACAAAAACAAATTTTTAAATAAAATAGAGTCAGGTTTCAGGGGGCTTTTGAGCAGAAGATGAAAATCAATTGGTCAGCAACACACCAAGGGTACAGTGACAATTAAGTGGAATGGACAAAGAGGTGCAGATTTGCATACAAAGTCAGCACATTCAAATAAAGAGAATGACACATCAGGAAGTGTTCATTATAAGTGGAGAAAAAAAGAGAGAATTGGCAGTTTGGCCAATTTGCAAACCTATGTGCCTCCTGGACAGATAATGGGCAGTATGAGAAAATAATTAAAATTTGAATTTAGAGCATATTTTTCTTCCCTGGGAAAGAGAATGTGAAGTCCGTTCAAAAGAAGCCTGTGATGTTTTCTTTCTCATAAAAAATAAAGCAAATTATTCCATCCAATGCAACTGATTCAAATTTGAACTTCCTGAAAATTTACCAGTAGATAAACCAGGATTTAAGTTCAAGGACACATTCCATGCCTAATCTTCATTTTACAACTTTTGAAGATAAATTTTCTTCTGCACTGAAATCTTTCAGAGATAGCCCTTTTTGTGAAAAACAAATTGTTAGAAGTGTGCAACAAATTGGCCAGATGTCTCTGGGGCATAAACACTCTCTCAAAAGAAAGGTAAGAACTTCTAATAACGACCTCATGCTTTCAAACCACAAGTTTTAAATCTAGTGCTTTGAAACAGTAATGTTCAAAGTATTTTTCTTGTTCTTGAAAGAGTTGGTACAGTTTCTCCAAAGTGCTTCTCTTCTCACAGAATGTAGTTTATATTTTGGGAGAATTTGGCACAGCTTTAGTTACAGCTTCACTGGTTTCCTTAGTAGAATCCAACAATAAGTCATTTCCCTCACCCATTTGTCCCTTAGTGTTTATTAGCAGGAATAGACACAAAATGTCAAAAAAAAAGTATTATTCATATTAATCTACTTTCTTCACGACTTCACATCAAGATACCTAAATGACAGCCTTCTTCACAACTTGCTCCCAAACTGGCATTCATCCCTTAGGAAGTTTTTGCAAACACCCCCAAAGTTCATTATCAACTAACTTACCCTTCCCAGCCAAAATGTATCACTGCAGGATAAGTGTATTTAATTTTTGCTTATCTAAAAAAATAATAATAATTGCTAGGCACAAAAATCAGCACGTGGCATGAGCTAGTTTTGTTCCCTCCTATAAATTGTTTTTAAGTTGCAGACCTTGAAAAATAGACAGCAGAAATCTATTAAGTGGTATGCATTACTGTGATTGCTACTATCCCCCAAACAGCCTGACTGACCTATAAACTCAGGTGTAGCAGAAAACCACACCTTCTCCCTTTCCCCCAAAAAGAATGACTCCAAGAAGCAAAATCTTTACAGCTTCATAGCCTGGTATATAGCAAGGCCATCATTCTGATTCTTAATCATTATCCCATTCCTGAGCCTAAATAAATATAGTTTCTGTGGTTATTTTGCATATATTCAGTAGCTACACACACACACACACACACACACACACACACACACACGTTTCATAAAGTATTGGCCAATGCCCATTTCACATAGTTCTTTTAGTCTAAAAATAACTTTAGCTTTCATGTCTTACCAAGACAGAGAAAAGGGAGGGAAAATCAAAGAAAAGTAGTTTGGGAATCAGTGGGGAAAAATTTAACAGGCCTGCTGGGTGTTCTCTTAATACTGTCTTGGCTCTCCGATTAAATTATTATACTTTCTGCATTCTAGGACTGGGTCATTTGTGCACGAGGACAAAGGCAACTTCAACTTGATATTTCTGTCATCCCTGCTGTGGGAAGAGTCTTTTTCCTGGTTTATAACATCAATCACCCTCGCAATAAATCTTGGTGGTGGATATGGTCATTTAAATCTCCACCTGCACAAACAACAGAAAATAAGAGAGCTCATAAATCTCTACACTGGTGATTAACAAATTTTGAATCCTAGGCAAAGATATTATGGTGGTATGGGGGGGGGTCTCACTAATTCATTAATAAAGACTGATTTGCTGACAATCTGTTTAGTTTACAGCATAGGGGGAAAGCAAACAAGACCCTGCTAACAAAACAAAACGTTAGAGGTTAGGGAATTCCCAGCTGAGCCCAGGATTAGAGATATGATATCTTAATGTAGGAGAGGGGTACAGGCTCCCAGCCAAAAGCTCAGATGCCACGCTTAGGCATTGCTTCAGCCCCTCATCTTCAGTGCCTAATTGCAGGGAAACAAAACCCAGGGAAGTACTAGTAAGAGGGATTCGTGCATTCAGTCCATCCAGTTTCATCTCATCAATTCCGTTCCATCTCCTGGTTTCTGGTTCCCCTTGCTTTCTTAACTTACTCCCCAGATTGTCTTATTCTCTAGTAAAGATGGCCGGGCTGGGGTCAGGAATGGAAAAGAACCTTTCCCAAAGGGATACTACTGTTTAGTGTTTTGGAATGTCAGCTTCACATGAGGAACCCTGGATGTAACGATGTAAAGAGAGGCAAAGGCAGCAGAATTGGGAGGGAGAAAACAAGGTGATGTCTGAGAGCAACTGATTCTTAAGACAATATTACATACACCCCTGGTAGTGTAGAGGATGTAAAGAGAGGCAAAGGCAGCAGCATTGGGAGGGAGAAAACAAGGTGATATCTGAGAGCAACTGATTCTTAAGACAATATTACATACATTTCTAGAGAGGAATCTAGGGGGAAGTTTTAATTCAGTTAAGAAAAGGTTATCACCACACACTCATGTTACTGCATCTCATTCCCCTCACTCCCACTATGTGTGTGGCTGCCTGTGGGTGTGCAATGGTGGTGTGTTTGTGTACACACAGGCAGTTCCTTGATATCTTTAAAGTGACCAGGTGCAGGTGAATTCTTTGGTACTTTTTCTGACATCCCCCTAAAGATTCTACGAAGAACTTGTTTTCTTCATTTACCCCAGTTAAGGCTGGAAGGTATCTTGATAAGACTGTGTAGTCCTATAAGGTGTTGGCAAGAGGTAGCTGATCTCTGCCTGGATTTTAAGTGGCGTTTTCTTGCGAGGGGGAGGCAAGAGGGATGCTTGCGAGATTCGTAGGTGGAAGGCCCAGAAAAAAAAAAAAACAAAATATCTGGTCGTTTTCCTGAAGTTCGCTACGTACAACCAGCTATGACCTCTTAGAGGGGAACACAGGCCTTAGGAGATGGGCGATGGGCGATGGGCGATGAGCGATGAGCACGGGAGAGGGGCTGTGGGTGCGCCCCGCTCCTCCTAGGCCCAGCTCCAAGGGGAAGAAGGTGATGGTATTTCGTGTTGCTGTTGAGTAGATTTATGCTACAAGTTGGAAATCAGGGCCTGCGAGTGAGAGTTTCCCTCCGGTTGTGAAAGGGGTCTAAGAGCGTCGCTGGGGCCTGGGAGGCCCCTCCCCTGGGCTGCAAGGATCCGCCTCTCTATTCCCCAGATAAATTCCTAGTGTCCACCAAATTCCTCAGCGCTCTCTCCCTCACAGCCTCTGCGGCCACGGCTCCGGGGTGGGGAGCGGAGCGTCGGTTTCCTTCCCAAAGAAGCCCTGGCCCGGGCGGCTCCTTCTGCGAAGGGGGAAGGGGTGTGAGACCCAACCAGAACCCCAACTCCAGCTCCCAACACGCGGTGGCTGCTCCACCCGGCACACGAGGGGGGCCCACTGGTTTCCGGGTCTCTCTGTCCTCTCTCCCTCCCCTCTCTCCCTCGCATCCTCTCCCGCAAACATGTCCACCGGCTCCCTCAGCGACGTGGAGGACCTCCAAGAAGTGGAGATGCTGGACTGCGACGGGCTGAAGATGGACTCGAGCAAGGAGTTCGTGACTTCCAACGAGAGCACCGAGGAGGGCTCCAACTGCGAGGCGGGGTCTCCCCAGAAGGGCCGCGGCGGCCTGGGCAAGAGGAGGAAGGCGCCCACCAAGAAGAGCCCCCTGAGCGGGGTCAGCCAGGAGGGGAAGCAGGTCCAGCGCAACGCGGCCAACGCGCGCGAGCGGGCCCGCATGCGGGTGCTGAGCAAGGCCTTCTCCAGGCTCAAGACCACGCTGCCCTGGGTGCCCCCGGACACCAAGCTCTCCAAGCTGGACACGCTCCGGCTGGCGTCCAGCTACATCGCCCACTTGAGGCAGATCCTGGCCAACGACAAGTACGAGAACGGGTACATCCACCCGGTCAACCTGGTAAGTTCCCCG